GTTTTAACTGTTAACTGACTTCATCTGACACATAACATCACGCCTTTTATCCCTGAAGGGGTAGGCAGAGGTGCACATTACGGCACTAAATGCCACTGTGCAATGTAACACCCACTTTCCACAATTTATGTTATCGAGTCCCAGGTAATAGGGGGTGAGCCTATTGCCATATACCGGGCACAATTCCAGACTCCGTGCTACTACTGAGATAAAATAACCCAATAATACTTTGCCCGACCCGCGAATCGAACCCGAGACCCCTTGCCCATCAGTCGCACTTGCGACCACTCGGACAACGAGGCAGTCAAAGTGTGGCTTCATCTGACTAACAGAAAATTCTATTATTTTATTTTTATTTATTTATTAACACTTCTGTATAATAAACATACGATGGCGGACTTAATGCCGGGTGGCATTCTCTAACAGTCAACCATGGGGTGATGCAGAGATGTGCAACAGTAGGTGTAATAGGTAGATATAATGGTATAGTGACAGAAAAATCTATATAAATAAATTTATGATTATGCATAACTGTAATGTAAATACATACATATATCCTACATATTTATTAAATAAAGGCAGTCTATGCAGCATCTGTGTATTGTTTTTTTAATGAAGCAACTATTGTAATAGGCTCTTTGTCTATTACAAGAAACAAGAAAACTGGCGTAAATTTAGTCTATTCTGTATTACACAAGTTTGCAGTTAGCCTGAAGGGAAGCAGTTATTGTAAACTATGCATGTCTCTAACACCAGAGGAGACATGGGGTTGCCGACTCAAAATCCAATCGGACGGATCACCTGATGGTAAGCAATCAGCGTCGCCCATGAACACTTAAAACACCAGAGGCGTTACAAGTGCGTTGCCGGCCTTTTGGGGATTAGGAATTTGAGGATGCCTGGGGACTTCCAATCACCTCACACACACTTCGAAAGCGTTGTTTCAAGTGGGTTTTCTGTGAGGCCGTGACATCATTCCGGTCGAGCTAACCCATTCGAGCTGAAGCATGGTAACTCAAATTGTAAAATACGTCAAAAATCATTACACAGCTAATTGTTTAACAAACAAGATGGCGTGTATGCCATTTGTCACGTAGCTATAGTACCAAGATGAGTTTATGTGGACAAATAAGAGCTGTAGTTATGTTGGTAGCTTATCAGTTATCACTTGAACTAACAAACCGCAGTTGTAAACAAAATTACGTATGCACAACTTTTGGTAAGGACGAAATAACTGTACGAACTAGAGTGAAACGCGTCGCAGGTTCAAATCCCGTTCGACACAACTCTTTGCATGATTCTCAAGCCCCAATGTTCTTCAAATAACAATTTAAGTAGTTATTATAAATATAACTGCCTCATTGGCCGAGTGGTAGCAAGTGCGACTGCCGGGCAAGGTTTGATTCCCGGGACGGGCAAAGTACTACTGGGTTTTTTAAAGAAAATCCCAGTAGTAGCACGGAGTCTGAAATAGCGCCCGGTACATGGCAATAGGCTCACCCCCTATTACATGGGACTCATAATATATATAATGAAAACGTGGGTGTTACATTGTACAGTGGCATTAAGTGCCGTAATGTGCACCTCTGCTAACTTTTCGCGGAAAAAAAGTGTGCTGTTATGTTATGTTATAAATATAATAATCAACAGAAATAGAAATAACAATAATCAGAATCACCTTTCGCGATATTATGCCTGTATAAGCGATGAATTTAAAAAACTGCCGGAGAGATTTTTATACAGTTTCCATGAATATAGGCGATTCCTAAAGATGGTTTAGTTGTAGAATTCATTATGGTTTTGCCTACGCAGGTAAAGGCGAGAGCGGAAAGCTAGTTCTTTTTTGTTTTATCGAGGTAAACAAGTAAACGGATGACCTCATGATAAGCGATTATTTAGAGAGATGAGCCATTTCAAACATAAAAATCTATTAATCGCAAATATTATTATCACGGACAACATAACTACTAAAACAATCATTAATAAATCGCATCGTAAGTATATCAGCCAGCACATCCGAATTAAAAATCTTATCAAGAAATAATTTTGAATATTATCTATACGTCATTCAGACTCTCGAATGTTATTACAGGAATTTTTAATCGACTGACGATAATTTATTCGAAACTAGGTTGACACGCTTTTTTATTTTTCCCCGGTGGAAAATAATTCAATAACTTATCTAGTCTTAGGTGAGGCGTGAGGAAGTGTCAGACTCTTACTGACTAAACACCACTCCGTTCATACTCCTGCAAAGAGCCGGAGCCCCGATAACGGCAGCTACAGATGAGTCACAATGAACAGATAAAACTATTTTAAACCATTCCTAAGTTATCTGGTTCCATAGTGTTATTTCTTATGGAGAAGAACGAGTAATAAACTCCATGGTTACTCTTATAATAACTACAATAGTTCTTTATGTAAATTTCTTATAATATAGAGGCTAAACAAAACAAATTGTGATTATGGCCTTGCGTTTGGTGACGGCGTAAAAGTGCAGATAAAAATTAATATGTACGGTTAAATCAAGCGATAAGTGAGATCGATAAGCTACCAGTGCATGTGATAATAAAATGCAGAGTTTCCTCTCCTAAGTACGTGTGTCGCCTAGACAGTCAACCTCGCTACATTCTTGTTGACTGGACATCTACACTACATGAGCTGCTGTTTACATGTGAACATTAGCTCATGACGATACGTAAGTACGTGTGTCGCCTGGACAGTCAACCTCGCTACATCCTTGTTGACTGGACATCTACACTACATGAGCTGCTGTTTACATGTGAACATTAGCTCATGACGATACGTAAGTACGTGTGTCGCCTGGACAGTCAACCTCGCTACATCCTTGTTGACTGGACATCTACACTACATGAGCTGCTGTTTACATGTGAACATTAGCTCATGACGATACGTAAGTACGTGTGTCGCCTGGACAGTCAACCTCGCTACATCCTTGTTGACTGGACATCTACACTACATGAGCTGCTGTTTACATGTGAACATTAGCTCATGACGATACGTAAGTACGTGTGTCGCCTGGACAGTCAACCTCGCTACATCCTTGTTGACTGGACATCTACACTACATGAGCTGCTGTTTACATGTGAACATTAGCTCATGACGATACCTAAGTACTTGTGTCGCCTGGACAGTCAACGTCGCTACATCCTTGTTGACTGGACATCTACACTACATGAGCTGCTGTTTACATGTGAACATTAGCTCATGACGATACCTAAGTACGTGTGTCGCCTGGACAGTCAACCTCGCTACATCCTTGTTGACTGGACATCTACACTACATGAGCTGCTGTTTACATGTGAACATTAGCTCATGACGATACCTAAGTACGTGTGTCGCCTGGACAGTCAACCTCGCTACATCCTTGTTGACTGGACATCTACACTACATGAGCTGCTGTTTACATGTGAACATTAGCTCATGACGATACCTAAGTACGTGTGTCGCCTGGACAGTCAACCTCGCTACATCCTTGTTGACTGGACATCTACACTACATGAGCTGCTGTTTACATGTGAACATTAGCTCATGACGATACCTAAGTACGTGTGTCGCCTGGACAGTCAACCTCGCTACATCCTTGTTGACTGGACATCGACACAACACGAGCTGCTGTTAACATGTGACACCAGCGAATTGGTGATGTTATTTCTATTTACATATGGTTGATAATGCTTCAACAAGGTAAATAACCGCAGAGTGGTTAAACGCATAATATTTAGGTGGGCCTGATAAGGTTTCGATAGAGGAAAAACAGTGTAAACTTAGCACAAGGTTCTCCTTATCGCATGTCATGTTTTTGACCTTTAACAATAGGTTAGGAACGCATAGCACTGTTGACTATATTATATTAATTTATAATTATAATCAAACTGTTTGGAATGCATGCTTAACCTGTTAAAAAACTGGTCTAGTTTCACGGCACACTGGGAGTTATAAATATGAACTTTATTGTGTAGCTACTTAGGTATGTATGAATGTGATGGAAGCTAAAGAAGTATGTAAGGAGGGTAGTAGGTGGCGCTCTGTAGTTTCTGTAAACCATCAGATGTATGAATGTGATGGAAGCTAAAGAATTATGTAAGGAGGGTAGTAGGTGGCGCTCTGTAGTTTCTGTAAACCATCAGATGTATGAATGTGATGGAAGCTAAAGAAGTATGTAAGGAGGGTAGTAGGTGGCGCTCTGTAGTTTCTGAACAATGGGACAAAGGCGCGGCGAATTTAGGCATTAGACAAACTTCTTTCAAATGCGACACTAATAATATTATCTAAAGATAATTTATTTGTTTGAATAACTATTATTCATGACTCAAAAATTACACAAGTAAATAAGGATAAACATATACATTAGTGTTGAAACTAGTTATTTATGAAATACCCACTTATTATCATAGTTAAATATACTTATTCACAAATAGTTTTTTAGACGCCAGACTAAAGTCAAAAGGGAACTGACTTTTGAGTCACTTTAACAGGTCAACAATATGTTGAATCTCTTGTAAACAGAAAGTACTGGGTAAAATAGTACTGAGAATATTTGTAAAAGACTTAGTAATACATTGTCCGACTCTAGAATTAGAGATGAAAGAAATACAAAGAATTCTTGTGTTGATTATGTTATCTACAGCAGATAGTGGAACCAATATAAATAGTATGATGCAATTTCAAGAATATTTATCAAATATTTTGAGAATTTATTTATTTACTTGTTTCATTAGTATCTGGCGATGGCAGGGTAAATTATGACCATCAGTATCCTTACTCTTACCGCGGGTGTCGGGCAATGACAATTATCTTTTGTACTAACTACCCCACAGATCTTAATAATAGTAACAAAATATTCTACCTACTTTTAACAATAATTAGTTTTAGATTCTCTAGACCGATTCTACATAAATTTTGATCAGTACGACATTAGAAATGTCTAAAACATAATTTTCCTGTAAAATAAAAGAAAAATAAACAAAAAAACTCACCTTCTTAGCTGGTAACGCTCTTCGTAACTTCTTCTTTCTATCATCCAGCAGGAGACCGCTGGATTTCTCACTCTCTAACTCCGCTACCTCACCAACACCCACTCTATCACACAATGTCACATTAGCACAGTCCACTTCATCTTCTGCGTCACTCTCATCATACAGGCTGTCATCCGCCAAATTATTGACACTTTTAGACAACTGTGAAGCCGCCAAAGAGAAATTTCCACAACCAGAGTCACTCATGTCATCCGAATCACTGTCGTACTCCTCCGAGTCACTGGAATCTCCAAATACATCGTTGGATGTGTAGCAGCTGTCCGGTGAATCCTCAAACACGATAAAAGAGTCTTCTGATTCACAGTCTGAGGTTCTACGCAACTTAGGAGCATCATTGAATACAATTTGGAAGGAATCCTGGCTTTCTGGTACGGAACCTGGGTTGAAACGTCCAGAGACTTCATCAAAGTAATCTTTCTCCGGTTCTGGTGTTGTACTGTACTTATCGAAGGAACCAATCGATGGGGAGTTTTCAGGGGTGACAATTTCATCAATGCAGATCTCATTTGCAAATTGCAAGTCGTCCAGGATGCTCTTCCTCATTTTAGACTTTGTTCTCTTACTGCAGGTGCGGTTGGGGTTCTTGAACCTTTTGTCCTTTACTTTAGTAGGTGTTCTAGGCTTTGGAAGGTCAATATGTTCTGTGACCTTCACAGGTTCAGGTTCTGGAATAGGAATTGGTGATTTTGACTTATTTTTCCGCTCCTGCATCAGTGCCTTCAGCTTGCTGAGCTTGTCTTCACAAGAAGCGACCAACTCTTGCTTTGTTTCATTCATTAGCTTACTATCATTGGTAGTTTTAATTTCAGGTACATTTTTAACAATTTCTGTGGTCTCACAGATTTGTGGAGGCTCGATAATTGGTTTAGGAGGGTTGGTAGTGGCTTCAGAAGGCATTCCGATCTCGGTTTTGACCTTAGGGGCGTCAATCTCATGGAAAGCGTTGTCATGGAAACACACAGGACTGGAGTATTCAATGTAGGAGTTTTTGGCAATGTTTTCAAAGTCTTCTGGCGAGAAGGCATCTTCGAAGCAGTCTTCTACAGAGCTGGCTTCTACAAACACCCGCTTGGGTCGTCTCCGGGCCCAGCTGTTGCATGGTACAGGCTTGGTACCGAGTAGGAGGCGTACCTGGTCGAGTTTGCTCTGACAATGGGCCGCCGCCTTCTTACAGTCCGTCATTTCTGACGCCGAAAACTTACTAGAGTTATCACCCGAACGATTTTCATCTTGAACAATTTTATTTTCATCCAAAACTTTGGCGGGATGCCACATCGTCGGTGCCGCCATCTGGTGGACCGGCGGCGCAACGAAATCAGCTTGTTTCCGCTTACTAAACATCGCGCTGGTAATTACGTTCATGACGCCAGCAAAGAAACTTGTAATGCCTGATAAAGGGGAGTAATCAGGTTCAATATGAATGTCTTCTTCTGTTTTCACATCAATTTTGCTATTTAATTTGGATTTAGGCGCCATTTTTTCCTCTGTAATGATCGTATCAGCCAAATTCTTCATCAAAGGATCCGGAATTAGATGAAGGTTGTTAGGAACTAAGAAAATATCCTCGCCGAACGAGTGCCTCATTTCCTTCTTTGTTTCTGAGTGGAAGTTGGCGATGGAATACGGAGGGCTAGGGTTGTAAACGGCGCGTCTATCGGGGCGATTAGCAGCAAAATTCATCTTTGTTTTTTTTATTTATTACACTATTTTCTATACACTTGTAACTAAATCACAGTTAGGGCATTTTCACTCACGCGCACATTGTTGAGACTCTAGAATCTTGAACAATGTCCGGAGAAGGCCGATGTACGAATCTGCAGCACTTGGTGATGTTTTTGACGGATTGTGAAGGATAATCAGGGGAAATCCACACGCGTTCACGAAACGAAATCACTTCGGGTATACACACTGTTGTAGATTTAACTTCGCAAATCAACACGTCTGTGGTCGAAAAATTACTTAAACACTTGTTTTTGTTGGTATATTGAACGTTAAGCTCCATTATGACGAATATAACTTTAGTACGCGTCTCTATAGTTCAGCCATTTTGTGAGAAATAAAGGAATGACAGATAAAAATATTACTTTTGTTGTCTTTGCTCGAATAGTGATGCGAGTAACCCAACTGTAAACGATTTAGTTTTAATCGATTTGAAACTCGATACAGAAATAATTTTGTTAAGGTTCTTAAGTTTTGAACTAAAGTGAAGAATGTTGTTCGGAGCGGTAACGGGATCATAGCGCGATCAACATTTAATATAATAAAATAATTATTAGTCAGAGTTGTCACGTCGCTCGATAGAGGGTGGTAATATCGAGATAGATCGCGCTATGGTTTCGTTACATCAATTTGGTTAGGTTGCTCGTCAAACCTGACGTTGGCGAGTACAACCAGCGCCCCTAGCGGGAACAAGGAACAACGGAAGTGAATAAAAAGTGAAAGTAATAGTGGTGTTTGTGTTGTTATTCCAAATCCCTCGTTAGCCGACCCTCTGTCTTCTTCATGGTCCTTCGAGCCGGATTAACTACTCCCGAGAGTATTTTTTGAGCGGTCACGAGTGTCGGGAGTGACCGCAGCCCTTGTAAAAATACTGGACGGTGGGCGGATCCGCTGTCCAAGTCAGCCTCTTCAACCTGGTGAGAGTTGGAGGAGGAGCCGGGTGACCTGCCTCTTGGAGCTGAGGCAATCAGATCTGGAGCCATAGTCTTAAGCCGCCTCTTGGAGCTGAGGCAGCTAGAACTAAGGAGGACACCCTGGAGGAGGATGCAAGGGAGGGAAGAGGCGCAGAATAGTGGCCCAAGTTAAAAGTGAGTGAGTGAGCGAGTGAGGAACTGTGAGTACATTTACAAAATTACATAGGACTTGTAATAGAGATAAAAGGTTCAAACAAGTCTTGTAATAAATGTGATTCGGAAACTTGTAATTTTAAAGTGTTTCTAGAGACTTTAAGTGACTTAGTTTATTGGTAGATTGGTAATTATTGTTTTAATTTTACATTCCTAATATTGTTGTTACTGTTATATTTGCTACTGGGTTATTGTTTACAAATAGATATGGAGTCTTACAGTGCTATTCAGGATGACGTTAGGTCCAAGATAATAAAGGCCCGTTCAATAGTTAAAAAGAGTTCAAAAGATCGGCTTACTGCGTCATACCTTGAAACACGCTTGGAAGGTCTAGAACAGTATTGGCAAACGTTTTATCATACGCATTCGAAAATAATAACTGAAATTAAACGGTCTGAATTATACAATTCCAGTTATCATAAGGATAGTGTGTATGATGAGGTTGAAGAAACGTATGTCCAGTTTAAGAGTGATCTTAAAGAACTGTTGGCTCAATGTAAGACTGATAATACAAATAGCAACATAGGAAGTAGTAATGCAGGTTGTAATTTTAAGTTACCGGATGTAAAGATACCTGTGTTCTCTGGTAAATATCACGAGTGGCAGACATTTCGGGATTTATTTGTTGGGTTGGTACACAACAATAAAAGGTTAGACGATGCACAAAGGATGTACTACCTCAAAGGATATTTAACTGGAGACGCAGAACTACTGTTAAAAAATGTAAATGTTACTGCAGATAATTATAAGGCAAGTTGGGAAAAGTTGGAATCTATGTATAACAACAAAAGGTTTCTGGCAAATGGTATTTTAAAACGACTTTTTGAACAAAAGGCATTGGTAGTAGAATCAGCTACGGAAATTAAGAGGCTGATCAATACAACATCTGACTGTTTAAGTTCACTACAAAATTTGGCTGTCGATACTTCATCATGGGACTTAATGATAGTACATATTGTTAGTACCAGGTTAGACAGGGAGACTCGGAAAGCATGGGAGTTGCAGGTTGCTTCAGACTCAAAAGACGATTTGCCAACTTTTGACCAACTGAATGAGTTTTTATTTCAGTCGGTTTCGTGGTTTGGAAAATCTGGGAAACAAAATTGAAAACATCTCAAAGCAAACGCAATCATTTCATGTAATGAAGGATATTAAAAAGAAAAATATTACATGCGAGTACTGTTCCGCAGCTCATAGAATTTCTTCGTGCCCTAAGTTTTGTAAACAGTCAGCAGATAGTCGTAGAAATATTGTAAAAGAAAATAATTTATGTTTTATATGCCTTAGTAATACTCACTCAGTTAAGTTTTGCAAGAATACTCTCAGGTGTAGGGTGTGTAAACGCCGCCATCATTCTTTGATACATCTCACAGGTGTTTCTGGGTTGGCAGTTAGGGAGAGCAGACCGGCTGCTCTAGAGGGAACCTTATCGGTTAATAAGGTAGGCGGTCTCGTACCAGCGGAGAATAAACCTCTGGTTTCATGTCTTTCGACAGGTAATAAGCAAACGGTGCTTTTAACCACAGCCCTGTTAAAGGCCGAATCGAAAAATGGGAAACCCCAGACGGTTCGGGCGTTACTGGACCAAGGGTCACAAGGTTCTTTCATATCGGAATCGATGGTCCAGTACTTGGGTTTAAGGAAAATTTCTTTAAACAATGTGGTATTCGGTTTGGGTGGAGTTAAAGGTGCTACGTCGACGGCCAAGGCAGTTGTCACAATCGGATCGAGGCTCGATCCAAATTTTAAACTGAGGGTGAACGCATACGTTTTAAAATCAGTTACAGCTCTTATCCCAGCTACTAAAGTAGCCAGAGTTAAAGGGCTAGACATACGGGATAACGAGTTGGCTGATCCAGAGTATTTTAGACCAAATAGCGTTGATATGTTATTAGGAGCAGACATATATAGTCAGGTTATTCGACACGGACTAAAGAAAAACGTAGGCGGCACACTCTTAGCGCAGAATACTGCGTTGGGCTGGATACTGTCTGGGAAAGTTGACGTAGAAAATCCTAATATGGATTCTAATATTACAGTTATACATTGTAGGGTCCAAAACCATATGTTAAGAAAGTCTTATTTGCCAGGAATCTGATAAGATGCAATAGGTATTCATACATATGTGTAATTTAATATTGTTAACTGTAATTTGGAAGCATTTTATTTTGTTATAGGTGTTAAATTTATGTGACTAGTTTAGGGGGTGTTTTATATTGTTTATTGGGTGATGTTATTGTTTATATACATTGGAACCGCCAAGGACGTCTGGGTAATGGGTTGCCACCCTGGATATGGCAAATATAGAATGGTGGGCAGTATCAAATTAAGGACATTTGTCCAATATGTCCTTGGTGGGCGGCATGTTCGGAGCGGTAACGGGATCATAGCGCGATCAACATTTAATATAATAAAATAATTATTAGTCAGAGTTGTCACGTCGCTCGATAGAGGGTGGTAATATCGAGATAGATCGCGCTATGGTTTCGTTACATCAATTTGGTTAGGTTGCTCGTCAAACCTGACGTTGGCGAGTACAACCAGCGCCCCTAGCGGGAACAAGGAACAACGGAAGTGAATAAAAAGTGAAAGTAATAGTGGTGTTTGTGTTGTTATTCCAAATCCCTCGTTAGCCGACCCTCTGTCTTCTTCAAATGTACTTTAAAGCACTTAAAATACCTTTATTGTAAAAACTATGTTTTTGTCAATAGGTTGCTTTTTTAAGTTATTTTGAATAGAAACCAAGATAATTATTTTATGCATACAAGTATTTTGCATTTTTACTATTTATTAAAAAAGACACTTAATTTTTTTTTACTTAACTAATATATAAAAAATTGTATTGTGTTGTATCAAAACATCTTCGATAAGAAAACTACCATTTAATTTATTAATTCCTGAAATACAACGTAAAACCACAATATTCTCATATTTATAATTTAATTAATTATTTTATTTTATCAATAACCTTAGCAGGTCCTCGCAAATAATAAATCAACGCGCCATCGACGCCGTTAAAAATTACACTGTAACTTAAATCTGTTATAATATCAATCGAATCGATATTATGTTCAATCCGAATTGGCAAATCGATTCCAGTGGGGAATAGGCAATGCAGACGTCCTTGACGATTTTCTGATGCAATAGTATGTTTTCGATGACGCATGTCCTGTTCTTGTTGATTCACAAGATTATTTTCATTGGTGTAAAATAATCATAACAAACCACGTCATTGGTTAAAAATACAACATTACGTATGATTGGTTGTTTCGTTTTAGGGGCAATGCGTAGTGAAGAGACAAGGGCATTGTTTAGTTGAATAGAACGATGGCATGTCAAACTATACGAATATTTACAAGTTGATCACTAAACTTTAAACTTTATTAGTTGACACTAAGGATGAAAATCTACAGCATACAGATATCTTGACGTGCTGGTGACGCCAGAATTTCCGATGATAATCTCGAAATTACCAGAACAAAATATTATTTTGACAGTTCATGTGTATTCACATTTGATTGGTTTGGTACTTTGTTCCAACAAAATATCAGAATGTTGGAATAAAATTTACGCGCACAATGAATCGATGTGGATCAAAATAAAGAAGTAAATAAAATAGAGTATTATTATTTATTTACACTTTTACATCACAGACAAATGAAAAAATACACCACGGATACAAAACAGAAACAATAACTAGCAATTAAACACCTGAAGATAGTTTGCTATAAAATTTTGATCTGGCGTTTCATAATATAATGGAAAACAATTGCTATTCTTTTAATATAGGTTCTTTATACTTTCTTTACATTTAAAACCAGTATAAAATTAATAAACACACATTGTGACAGGTAAATAATAAATTAAATTCGTCAATCAACGCGGTAAATATTGCCGAAATTTAAACATTAGTTAAAACAAAAAATTGGTTCTTTGGTAAATATTACAGATAACATAAAAAATGGTAACTATTAATTCTATCAAACAGGACATAACATCGTGCCCTTTTCCAAAACGGACAGGACAGAAGTACACAAACTTTTAAACGTAACACCCACTTTTCGCCAGTTAGAAGAAATTAATTCAATAATTACGACTACTTAAAAGCTACGTAATTATTACTTTGCATTCTGTGAGCATTATATACAACTCAATATTTCAAGAGTTTGAAAAGACAAAATAATGCCGCTATTCGCCGCTAGATGTCAGGATTATAAATTTTTTGTATTTCGCTTTTTATTTAGAAATTTTTATGTAGAGGAAACCCAGAAGGGCCTGTAACGGGCTGTTGATATGAAGTGGCAGACTGAATTATTGTATTTTCTATGTTTAACATTATTTTGTGACTAAAAAAATTACTGCATTTAAACATTAAGAAATTTTTGTTTATATTACAAAACGTAAAAGTATGTTTACAATTACAATTCTAACATAAAAACTACTGAGCAGATTTCAATGAAATTTGGCATACGTATAGACCAGGACATGTATGAACACATAGGACATTGATTATCTCGAAAACACGGGCAGAGCCGTTGGTATAAACTAGTTAAGTTAGTTATTTTAAACAAATATGCCTAAAAACGATCTAGCAAGGTTTAAAGATCTATATTGGATATTTCTTCTGCTTTCGCTTGGTTCATGAGAGGTAGACTCTTCAGGCTGTTGTCCAGGAGTTCCACTGATGATGTGAAGACGTGGGAGTTGCTGTACAGGGTCCAGAGAACGAGGAAGATGAAGATTAACTTGATGAAGCGGTCGACGAAGTAACGGCTGGAAATATAGAAAAGAGTTTAAGAATAATTTTAAGAAATAAAATTAAATAAGTAGATTAAAATAGAGTAGAGAGATTAAAGATAAAAACTTGTCTTCTTCTTCGTCTTGAGTTCGGTTTACGAGTACCTAGATAATATCAGCTATTTTCGGTTTTTCAAAAATTGACAGCAGGTAGGTACCTATTATTAGCATGGACAATATGAACTCAAGACATAACTGGTGCGAAACGGGTGTTAAATTGTCCATGGCATGTTCAATATGGTACATTTCTACCTACCCTCTAAGGACTAATAAGGTGTAACTCTATGCTAAGATGGCACTATCCAAAAATAGACAGGAGCACAACTGGGTAAAGGGTAAAATCTTACTAGCGTTTCTTCATCCCACAACGCTTGCGGTATGTTTCGTCGTGTGAGTGAGATTACCGGTAGCCCAACTCCCCCCCCCCCCTTCCTCAATCTCCCCAATATCCCCAATCCCTGAATCCCCAATAATACACAAATTCCTAATCCCCAAAAGGCCGATAACGCACTTGTAACGCCTCTGGTGTTCCAGATGTCCATGGGCGACACCGATTGCTTGCCATCAGGTGATCCGTCTGCTCGTTTATCAACTTATCCCATAATAAAAGCAAAAATCTGCTCTGACTGCCTCGTTGGCCGAGTGGTCGCAAGTGCGACTGCCGGGTAAGGGGTCTCGGGTTCGATTCCCGGGTCGGGCAAAGTATTACTGGGTTTTAAAAAAATTCTCAGTAGTAGCACGAAGTCTGTAATTGTGCCCGGTATATGGCAATAGGCTCACCCCCTATTACATGGGACTCATAACATAAATAGTGAAAAGTTGGTGTTACATTGTACAGTGGTATAATGTGCACCTCTGCCTACCCCTTCGGGGATAAAAGGCGTGGTGTTATGTATGTACGTATGTAAAAGCAAAAATATGACAACACTTACATTCGATGCAATTTCTTGGCTCTCGGAAGGTTAGCAGGGTCCTCATGACAGCAGAACTTTCTGGTACCCAGTACATAATTCTTGAGGTACTCGTCAGGGTTCAGGATGGAAGCATCAGTGTAGAACACGTCATTATCTTCAGGGGTTACCCTGTTCCTTAAACCTTTGTAATTGTTGTTTCTGAAATGCCACTCTTTTGTTGTGTAATACTGTAGGACGTTGAGGCCATGGCTGATTCTTTTTTGAAGGTTGATCATGCTGGAAACAGGTGGGAAATCATTCAAAGTCAAAGTCAAAGCATTTATTTCAATTAACCCTTCGAGTACCGTCATTATAGACAGAATTAAAGAACAATAGGTTGCGGTAACCGGTGTCCTCGCGGTGTTTGACAGTTTAAACCATAATTTGGTACTTTTGAAACGTCAACAAATACAAAATAAAGTCTGTCAGTCAGTCCGTCAGTGAAACTAGGTGAAGCTAGGTGCTTATTCCAAAATGTAGATTCGAATGGAGAAGAACAAGCAAGAAACTCCATTCGTTACTCTTTTCAACCGACTTCAAAAAAGGAGGAGGTTCTCAATTCGACTGTATTTTTTTTAAATGTTTGTTACTCTGTTACTCGAAGATGCCTGGACCGATTTCAAAAATTCTTCTTTTGTTTGAAAGGACAGGTTTGTCATTTCGTCCCATTGTCATGAAGTCAGGATCCGATGATGGGATCCCAAGGAAACTGAGGGGAACTTTAAAAAATTTTAGGGCGACTAGTGCATTTGTTATTTTTTTCGTTAAGTATTGAAAACCACTACAATCTGACAACGTTCTGGAGCTGATCTGATGATGGAGCCGATAGGCAGTCGAGGGAACTCCTCAACGGTTAACAGTAGCTACATTGTGTTTGGGTTTGATTAATTTGTATTGATGAGGACTTTACACCTAGGTGGTACGTGATTGCCAATAAGGGTCTGATGATGAAGTAGTACCATAGTTGAGGGAACTCCTCAACGGTTAACAGTAGCTATCTTGTGTTTGGGTTTGATTAATTTGTATTGATGACTTTATACCAACTGTTCATAGTCCAACTGACGCAGGCTGTTAATGTCTTAATTTAAAATAATTTAGTATAGGTCAGGTAGAGAGCTTACAATGTCTTCTTTCCTAGTAAAAACAGCAGTGCATCAACCAGGTACGCTGGCACCAGATGACTGAAGAACTTGTCGATTTGATGGGTGATGTTGTACGACTTGATGCTGCCACCAGGGTACCAAAGCGCCATGGTGTAGGGGTACTCGTTTACCCATTTTTCTCCTGAGAAAAACAGAAAGCATTATGATAAGATTAGCCAGTACCTGCAGTAAGTAGTAGTAATGTCGTGGTGGCCTGGAGGTATAAAACGCCCGCTTCTCATGCATGAGGGTGCGGGCTCGAAACCTAACGACGGCAAGGACCAATGTGACCTTTTCCGAGTTATATGTACTTTCAAAGATTATTTAGACACCACTGACAAACGGTGAAGGAAAACATCGTGAGGAAACCTGGGCTTATAATTTCTAATTATAAGTTTGCAATCACCAACCCACATTAAGCAAGCGTGGTTATTAATGACATAACTGGTGCGAATCAAATTTTCTCCGTGTGAAAAGAGGCTTTGCTCAGCAGTGGGCATTTATAGGCTGTTGATGATGATGATGCTGATGATGAGCCAGTGCTTGAGGATGTACAACCTGTGATGATATGGTCCCTAACTTCTGACCTTTAGAGAGACTCAGGGTCGCGCAGGAGAGAGCCATGCTTGGAGTTTTTCAAAGAACCAAAGTTATACTTTTATAATAACTATCGTAAGACATACTAAATTATCTAAAAATCGATAACGAAAAATCGATAATATTCGAAACTAGTAGAGCTTTTCGCAGTACATTCACGTGAGTAGGTAATTCGCGATTTAAGTTACACAAAGTTATAGTTATTGCTCTCAAAATCGGAAGTGGCAATGGACAGGCCACGTCGCTTGAAGGACTGACTGCCGCTGGGCCAGGAAAGTAACCCAATGGCGAAAAGTATAACGAAGTCTTTGATCCAGAAAAGGACTCGTCAGTTCCTTTGATGTGCGAATACCAAGGAGAGAAACTCCTTGCTAGTCTGTGTTTCTTGAAGGGTATATCCTGGGTGTCTTCAAGGCCCGAGTGAATAGATTGCTTATGGGACGACGTGCTCCATCGTAGACCGCATCATCGTGCACCACCAGGCGAGATAGTGGACCAATGTCGATCCATTACCAATAAAAAAATATTTGAAGTAATTTTTTCTTAACTTACCTAAATCTATGATTTCCTGCCACGTGAGGTTAATTACACCGGATAAAGTAAGGTTATACACTTGAGTTTCTTTTGGCCTGAAACAATACAAAAAATATTCATCATGCGTACTGCCACGTACTATCCACTGCCTATCGGGCCGATGCCGATTCGGAGTCGCGGAGATCCTAACGGGCTACCGGGGCTCCGGCTCGACGTGCAAGAGAAGGAACGGGGTGGTTTTTAGTCAGTAAGAGTCTGACACTCCGTCCCGCCTCACGCAGGCGGGAGCAGACATTCGATGATTTCCCAACCTTAAAAAAAAATCCACAGCCCCCCACAGTCATCCCCCAATGGCTACACATCGCGAAGCTGGAACCGACCTGCTTACAGCGCAGCTATTTAAGACCTTTGAAAGTGCATAGTTGCCTTTTGTGGGAGGAGAGGGTTGCTGAATGAACTGGAGATTAGAGATTGGGGACGTAGGAGACCACATCCCCAATCTAATCTCCAATCGCCAATCTCAATCCCAAATCTCCAATCCCCAATCACCAATCACCAATCTCCAATCCCAATCCCCAAACTCCAATCAGCAATCTCCAATATACATATCCAATCTCCAATCTCAGATCTCAACTCTCAAATCCCTAATCATCAATCAGAAATCCCAATCCCCAATAACAATCCCCAATACCAATCCCAATCCCCAATCCCTTCACAATCCCCATTTTCCAAATTCTCAATTTCTAAAAGGCCGCCAACGCACTTGTAACTCGGCTGATGATGCATATGTCCATTGGCGGCGTCAATTGCTTACCATCAGGTGACACATCTACTTGGTTGCAGAATAAAAGTTGATTAAATTAGTTGCCTCGTTAGCCGAGTAGTCGCAAGTGCGACTGCCGGGCAAGAGATCTCGGGTTAGATTCCCGGGTCGCGCAAAGTTTAGTTATTACTGGGTTTTAAAAAAATAATCTCAGTAGTAGCACGGAGTCTGGAATTGTGCCCGGTATATGGCAATAGGCTCACCCCCTATTACATGGGACTCATAACATAAATCGTGAAAAGTGGGTGTTACATTGTACAGTGGCATTAAGTGCCGTAATGTGCACCTAACGGGTTACCGGGGCTCCGACGTGCAGGAAAAGGAACGGGGTGGTTTTTAGTCAGTAAGAGTCTGACACTCCCTCCCGCCTCACCCAGGCGGGAGAAGCCATTCGATGATTTTCCCCCCTTAAAAAACCCTTCGGGGGTAAAATGGGGTGATGTTATGTTATGATTAACTTACTTAATAAATTATTATGTTTTCGGCTTACTCACGTAATAATTTGACGAGGAACTCGACTAGTTTCAGGTCATGCTCGAGTCTGACTCGAGTAGCCAGTAGCAGCGCGGCAGTCGCCGCGTCGCGGGTCGCGAAATGCTGCTCATGAATATGAGCCTCTAGCATGACTTGAAACTAGTCGAGTTCCTCGTCAAATTATTACATGGGTAAGCCGAAAACATAATAATTTATTTAGTATGTCTCACGAAAATTAACTTACTTGTCCAATCCAGTAACGTAAGCTATCAGGATACAAGCGTTGGCGACGACATCCACTGAAATGGCATCAGCTTTGTATGAAGGTTCACAATGCATCGTCCGGATCACACCTGGCAATATGAAAAAAAAAAATATAGAAGACTAGCTTTTACCCGCGGCTTCGCTCGCGTCACAAAAGGATAAAAAGTAGCCTATGTGTCATATACCAATACATACTTTGTTTTCCCTCGGGAATTTCAAATTTTTTCAAGATAAAAAGTACCCTATTATTTAATCCAGACTACTAACGTTACGTCTGCAAAAATTCAATGCAATCGGTTTAGTAGTTACGGCGTGAAGTCAGAACAAACAAACAAACAAACAAACTCACTTTCCGATTTATAATATTAGTAAGGATAGTAAGGATTTGTCGACTCTCAACTTAATGCTGAGATGGAGGCCCTTTTGGCAAGGGCACGCGCCGTTAAATGTTATTTATTTATTTATATCTTGTTTTTATTAATTTTTAATTTCTGTGTTATTATTCTACTGTCACTGTGTTGTTATACTCTGTCGTTTCTTTGTGTTACTTTCTGTATTTATATAAATATGTGTATTTATTTGTTCTTTTCTTTTTAATTTTTTTTTTTGTATCTGTGTGCGTGCCTACTGCCGAATAAATATTTTTCTTTCTTTCTTGACAAACACAAGCGAGTCTCAGTGTAGGAGATGGTTCGACCGGAGTGATACAACAGCCTCACAGTACACCGGCATGGATTTTTTCTTTTTACAGTATTTCGATCTGTCATCAGTTATTAAGCCATAATCATATGTTATGTCTTTTATTTAATGTTTCAGAAGGTATTCCATTAAATACTCTCCCACCATCCCCAGAAAATTGTTGTTAAACCAAAAATCTGTGTTACAAAATAAATAAAAAAAATCTCAATAGTAGTTCAAGTGTGGGAGAGCCATGCTTCGGCACGAATGGAGTGATACCACGGCCTCACAGAAAACCGACGTGAAGCAACGCTTGCTTAATTTCGTTGTGTTTCGTCGTGTGAGTGAGGTTACCGGAGACCCAATTACCTTTCCCTTCCCCAATCTCTCCAATTCCTGAATCCCCAACGATCCTCAAACTCCTAATCCCTAAAAGGCCGGTAACGCATTTGTAACGCTTCTCGTGTTCCAGGTGTTCATGGGCGACGCCGATTGCTTACCATCAGGTGATCCGTCTGCTCGTTTACCGGCTTATGCCATAAAAAAAAGTATCACAGAGTCTGGAATTGTGCCCGGTATATGGCAATAGGCTCACCCCCTATTACATAGGACTCATAACATACATAGTGAAAAGTGGGTGTTACATTGTGCAGTGGCATAATTTGCACCTCTGCCTACCCCTTCGGGGATAAAAGGCGATTTGTTATGTTATGTCATCCCCAGAATAGTCCACGCTTAGTTTCTTGTATCTAGTTGCAAAATTTGCCATCGTTTTAGCCTTGTGATATCCCTGCTATCATCAACCAAGTCCCTGGCGAGCTGGTTGGTATGGTTCAGGAGTCTTTTTTTATGGCATAAGCCGGTAAACGAGCAGACGGATCACCTGATGGTAAGCAATCGGCGTCGCCCAAGGACACCTGGAACACCGGAGGCGTTACAAGTGCGTTACCGGCCTTTTGGGGATTAGGAGTTTGAGGATCGTTGGGGATTCAGGAATTGGGAAGATTGGGGAAGGGGAGGGTAATTGGGCCTCCGGTAACCTCACTCACACGACGAAACACAACGTAAGCGTTGCTTCACGTCGGTTTTCTGTGAGGCCGTGGTATCACTCCGGTCGAGCTGGCCCATTCGTGCCGAGGCATGGCTCTCCTACACTTCCTTTGTACTTAGTTGCATATTTCTTAACTTCCTCCTTAACCACAGCGATGTGTGCGCCGTTTGAGTGAGGTTACCAGAAGTCCAATGCCTTACCCCAATCTCGCAATTTGTAAATCCCTTACCCCCAAAAAGGCCGACAGCGCTCTGGTAACTCCTCTTGTGTTGTCAGTGTCCATAGGCAGCGCCGATTGCTTACCATCAGGTTACGGTACTATTATCATACAGTATTCCAACTTCATACAAACGGACGAAACGGAATCTATATGACGAACCGGCTGTGTGTCGTTTTTTTAACAATAATCGCGCGATTTTTTCACTAAAAATAAGTTCAAGTACATATTTAATATGGCGAGTAGGATATATTGTGCTGTTTATGGCTGTATTTAACAATAATATGTTTTTTAAAATTAAGTCTACCAATCAAAAAGCAAGTTGCATTTTTATTGAACACTTCCTATTCCTTATACGAATTATTTTATTTGTTTGTGTAAAAAAAGGACAAAACTAAATAGAAACAGAAAGTAGTACTGGAGACGGGCAGCCCTGACGCACGTGTACGTACCGCGCTGGAGGCTAGTCCGGCTCCACAGGATAACTACAAACACTGTTGTTTTAATGAAATCGTAAATAATAGAACCATATTGCTAAATTGTATATTGTTTAACTTAGATAAGCATTGTAAATGTGAGAGCCCTGTAATTAATTTAATATTAAATCAGATTAGTAAAATTCATTTGTGTCAGCTTGGAGTTGTTATGCTCACTCAAAGGTCTCATTGGCGGTGGCGCGTGCAGTGGATCGCTCGATTCCCTACAATATGGTTGAGTTGGGCGGTGCTGGTGTACGTGTCATGTTCGTGAACGGGCGCCGTCAACTGGGACTGGTCAGCTCCAGACTGTATTTTTTATTGTCTTTAAGGTTATTTTCTAATCCAATCCAAACAGCAAAACTATGTAACTAGTAAATTGTATTGTGAACCTGATTGAAAAAGTAACCTATGGAGTTTCTTGCTCGTTCTTCTCCATAGGAATCTACACCTTCGAATGAGCAAATAGCTTCACTTTTAATTTTCTTTTTGTTGACGTTCAAAAGTGCCATTCTGGCCTAATTGAAATAAATGATTTTGACTTTGACTTTGACGCGCAGCTGTAGGTATTTAACTCTGTCATGCGGCCGAGTTAAATACCGATCTTCATACAAATGCACCGCGCGTGGCTTATATGTGTGCGCTATAGAGGTAGTATCTATGCGTAGACACACGCACACTTTAACAAAATATCGACCCGTTTCTCAGTGCGCCAGGCAGGGCTAACACTGCACGAGGTTCGCGCGCGCATCACTTTTCGCACTGTTAAATGAATAAAAATGTTTGATAATCGTAAAAGAACATATTGCTGTGTGTTTGGGTGTCTTAATAATTCATCGATTCCAGAACTGTCTCTGTTTAGATTACCTATTGAACAGGAAAGATAAGCTAGTCACTTATTCTAGCATAATATAATTTGTACTTGATGATGAGATACCTACTTACTTATTTTTTGTTTGTGTTAGTTTCCTATCAGTATCACATAGGAAGTAGGTAGGCCCAATTTCCTACTAGAATGTATTAAGTAGGTACTTTTGATCTGGCAATTGATTTGCCGCTATTGTCGCCTATTATTTTGTTTACATAAATGTAATGTACTTATGGTTATGTTGATTTCTCAGTATTGTAGGTATGTATAGTAGGGGTGCGTGCAGAAAACCTCCCCGTCGCTGGTGGCTACTATTCCCTTATGGATACGTCCGGGGGGAAGAGTAGTGCTGGCTGGTGCACCCTGGGTACGGGTAGGAGTCTCTCCTATCGCATGTCAAACTGGGATAGGAGAGACTGCTCTTGGAGCTAATTTCTGCTGGGGCGAAGGGTCGTCCCCGAGGGCTCTTCCATATGTGATTTGCGATCGCAAAGTACAGTATGGATGAGTGAGGAGGAGTAGGCCGTGGGATGCTTCACAACTCGCGGTCTAAAGATTGCAGCATTGTGGCTATAAAGCCACAATGCTGCAAGTCTCGGAGAAGTCAAGATCTTATGATCGGAGAGGGAAAATAGGTCGTGAGATACTTCACATCTCGCAATCTATATAAAAAAAAATAAAAAAAAAAAAAAAAAAACAACATAAAAAATTAAAATGTGAAAAAAAAAATGTAGTATCTATACTTTAGTATGTAAATGAGGACCTCACCTCTAAAAGGCAAAGCTGTGAGCAGCAAATTTAATAATGAAGGCGTCTTGTAAAAATGTACTACCCCAGGAGGGTACCGACTGCTCAGCAGTCGGAGAATCCCTCACTGGACCTAGTCCAGTCAGCCCCACGTACTCTGGGGGGGGGCAACAACCGCCAACATACGTCAGTCGACGCAAAGAGTCCAAGTGGCTCATCACTTAATATAAAATTGCAGGCGCAGAGTCCGGCAGAAACGCATTCTGCGCCTATTGAAAGAGTTACGCGGTCGCGTTTTAAGCGGCCAAGCACGTTGGTAAGCGAAAGCGGTGAGTCAGACTGCTCTCAGATGTCTCTTGTCTCCCAGCAGTCTGCAGTTTCGGCACGTACACGAAAACGAACAAAAACTCAAGTTAATAACGATCAAAGTAAAGTAACGACAACAGAGAGGGTTAATCCAATTACTGTGGATGGTAGGATAGTGGAAAAGTTAGTGAGTGATAATGCAGACCTTCGTTCACAAATTGTCAATCTATCTGCAAGTGTAGAAAAACTTCTGAATCAATACAATAGTAGTAGTTGCCAAGGTATGTCATCAACGTTCGTCGAGGATCTCACGCGATCAATTATGATCCAGGTAGGTAATATGGTCAATGCTCGATTAGAAGCAATAGAGGGTAGGCTACTTCCTGAAAAGCATCTAAGACCACCGTTGGCAGCAGATTTAAATAAATCTGGAGTGTTTGTCACACAGACTAAATCAGGATCATCAGAAGTCGAAGGCAATAAAAAAGGGAACGGAAAGAAAAAACATAAAAATAAAAGGGCTGTTATAGTGAATTCTACGAATACTACAGTGACAGACTTGCCTCCGGTTTTAAGCCATGATCTACAGTCATCTACTCCAGCAGCAATCACAGAAACTTGGGCAACAGTTGTAAGAAAAAATAACCCGCAAAGGAAGACGCAGCCCAAAGCTCAGGTTGTATCTTCTGCGGCACAGAAAAAAGGAAGAACCATTGTTTTGCCCAAGGTTCCTACAACAGCGGCTATCGCAATTACAATTCCGGAGGGGTCTTCTGCCACATATGCAGAAGCCATGTTTGAAGCAAGACAGCGTATTAAACTTTCGGAGTTTGGTATAGAAAGCCTTAAGCAAAGAATTGGAATGACGGGAGGAATGCTGTTGGAAATCTCAGGTGCCGACTGCAATGCTAAAGCAGACAAACTTGCAACTCGAATGCAGGAAGTATTAGCTGATATCGATGTGCGCATCACGCGTCCATGTAAAATGGGTGAAATAATAATTTTAGATGTGGATGAGTCGGTTTCTCCTATGGATGTAGCAACTGCTATTGCGGAAGTCGGGGGTTGTTCCCTGACGAAGTCAAAGTAGGTGCAATTCGACGTCAGCTGCATTCGTTGGGAAGGGTTTGGGTCCGTTGTCCTTTAGCAACGGTGAAAAAGCTGTCATCCATTAAAAAAATTCGTATTGGTTGGGCATCAATGAGAGTTCAATTTCTAGAGCCACGACCTCTGCAATGTTATCGATGTCTAGAATTTGGACATGTACGTCGTCAGTGTTTAGGCACCGTGGACAGAAGTGATCAATGCTATGCTTGCGCCGGACGTGGTCATAAAGCAAATGAATGCACAGTGGAAACATACCGATGTCCAATTTGTGCAGATTTAGGACACCAAGCTGATCATAGAATGGGCACCAAAAAGTGTTCCCTGAGCAAGGAAAAAAGGATAAACAGTCGTTCTTTAAACTTATCTAATCGATCACAAAAAACGTCTGTTATTGATAGTAATGTACCGGAGGCTATGGAAACGTCACATTCCAACTCTTAAAAGTTCTTCAGTGCAACCTAAACCACTGCCGCAACGCACAAAATTTGTTTCTACAAACAGTTGCGGAGCGGTCGGTTGCAATAGCCGTTGTAGCAGAGCCATATAATGCCCCAGATCACCCACGCTGGTTTAGGGATACTTCTGGCTCAGTCTCCATTTATTGGAATGGTGGAACAGGTGATCCACCTTGTGTATCTGTCTGTAATGGTCCAGGCTACGTTGTAGTCGAATGGGGCTCTTTGGCAGTGGTAGGATGTTACGTTTCTCCTAATATTCCTATCTCGGATTATGAACGATATCTAGACAGTTTAGCACACTGTATACGTAGTCGTTGTCTTCCTCGTCCAGTACTCATTTTGGGTGACTTTAATGCCCACTCAAGACTTTGGGGTAATAGAAGAGATGGACCTAGAGGTATACTTTTACAAGACTGGGCAGCTGGACTCGATTTGCGGCTGTTAAATCAAGGGTCCGTTCCGACATGCGTTCGATGGCAAGGAGAATCAGTTGTTGATCTGTCTTGGGCAACTGCCTCTGCATGTCGAATGGTGGCAAATTGGCGTGTTGCGGAAGACATCGTCACCTTGTCGGATCACCGCCATATTGTCTTTGATGTGACAGTTCGTACTTCTCAACGCAGGCAAAGTCTAGTACGCGTACATTCACCTCGTTGGTCCCTTAAAAAACTTAACAAGGACCGGCTCATTGCAGCAGCTCATGTAGAGGCATGGCAGTATGACTCCCGATACTCGTGTTCTGGAGGAAACCTACCAGATCCAGAAACGGAAGCTAACTGCCTTAAAGAAACGATGACGACGATATGTGACGCTTCAATGCCTCGCAGCAAACATGCAAGTTTCCGTTCTTTACTGGTGGTCGGAAGAAATTGCGCAGCTTCGAGTGAGTTGTTTAAGGTCGCGACGTCGATATACTCGTAACAGAAGAAGGCGCAGTGCAACAGTCGAGGATATTGCTACAGCCTATGCCGAGTACCGTATGGCTACAAAAGCACTACAAAATGCGATTGCAAATGCCAAATCTCAATCTTGGAAAGAGTTAGTGAAAGATCTGGACAGAGATCCTTGGGGGAGACCATACAAAGTGGTTATGAGAAAATTGCGTCCTTGGGTTCCGCCTCTAACGGAAACCTTGAATGCCGAATTTCTGAATCGAGTCATTTCTTGTCTCTTTCCAGATGTTCAGAGTGTTCAACCAACATTGCATACGGACTTAGGTTGGAATGATAATTTGGAGGTGACTGAAGGAGAATTAAGCAGGACTATAAGTCGCTTAAAAAATCGTAACACTGCGCCTGGCCCTGATGGAATCCCCGGTCGAGTATGGGTTCTTACGATAAAAGTTTTTGGAGATAGGCTGAGGCGACTTTACACTAGTTGTTTGAAACACGCCATCTTTCCATCAAAGTGGAAGGAAGCTGGATTAGTGCTATTAAGGAAGGCTGGTAGAGATGCTGATTCTCCCTCTGCATACCGTCCAATATGCTTACTTGACGAAGTCTCTAAACTTTTCGAGAGAATAATATCAGTTCGACTCAACGAGCATTTATCGACCGCTGGTCCAGATCTTTCTGAAAATCAATTCGGCTTCAGACAACAGCGGTCTACCATTGACGCAATTTTGCGGGTTCGTATGTTGACGGAGCAGGCGGTGCTTGACGGTGGGATGGCGTTAGCAATAAGTCTTGACATTGTTAATGCTTTTAATTCGTTGCCCTGGCAGGCAATCAGAAGCGCTCTTGTATACCATCGTTTTCCTATCTACTTACAAAGGATAATTGGGGCTTATCTTTGTGATAGGCGAATCCGTTATGTGGGACGAGATGGGAAAGTTTACTATAGAGAAGTGAATTGTGGCGTGCCACAAGGATCTGTACTTGGACCTCTCTTATGGAACTTGGCATACGATGCGGTATTGCGTGTAGGTCTTCCTACAGGCGTTAGTGTGGTATGTTATGCGGATGACACGTTATTATTGGCAACTGGAAATACATATGAGAGTACTGTTCAACTGGCGGAATTGGGAGTGGCTATCGTAGTGTCTGCTATTTGTGACTTAGGTCTAGAAATCGCACCTCATAAGACAGAAGCTCTGTGGTTTCATAAACTGCCGCGAGGTCGAGAAGCTCCCAGTTTTTCTGTTCGTATTAATAATACACAGGTTCAGGTTGGTCAATACATGAAATACCTTGGCTTAAACTTAGACAGTCGCTGGGGATTTGAAGAGCACTTCAACCGCCTTGTTCCCCGGATTGATAGAGTGGTGGGTGCATTGCACGGCTTACTGCCTAATCTAGGAGGACCTCGAGAGGAAGTCCGTCGATTATATGCAGGCGTTGTGCGGTCAATAGCCTTATACGGAGCGCCAGTGTGGTCACACCGACTGTCGAGAGTACGTCGTTGTAGACTTAAATTTAATAGCCTTCAACGTAAAGTAGCTATTAGAATTGTTCGAGGATATAGGACCATTTCTTTTGAGGCAACACTCCTTGCACGTTTTCCACCTCTAGACATTATGGCAGAAATGGATGCAAAAGTTTACCATCAAATTCGCGAGATACGTCATAATGGAGACAATTTTCCTCCGAGAGCTTTTGAACTACTGAGGCGACAAGAACGGAATAGCGCTCTGCAAAAATGGCGTGAGCGGTTGGAGGTTCAATTTGGTCATAAACGAGTGGTTGAAGCTATCTTACCAAACTTTGAAGCATGGTTCAGGAGGAGTGACCGCATAACCTATCGGCTTACTCAGATTCTTACCGGCCACGGGTGCTTTGGTGAGTATCTGAATAGAATAGGTCGTGAAGCCACACCTAGATGTCATCATTGTGGAGATGATCGAGACACCGCTCAACACACGCTTCAGGATTGTCCTGAATGGCTTGGCGAGCGACGTGTTTTGGTTGAAATAATCGGCCACAACCTTTGCTTACCGACTGTAATCTCAGCTATGTTAGCAGATCCAACAGCTTGGCAAGCCGTAGTCACCTTCTGTGAAACTGTTATGTTTCAGAAGGAAACTGCAGAGAGAGATCGAGAGAGGATAGACCCAACTCGGAGACAAAGGCGGCGCGGTAGGAATCGCCGTTGAATTTAACTCCGAAACGATAGGAGGTAGTAACATAATTTGAGTGTCGCAGGTGAGTTCGTTAATTCGAGTACCCAGTGACTCTCTCATTGTTTTCTGGGATTGACTGTGTGGTTTTAGTCGGTAAGAGTCCGACATAACCTGCTGTCTGACGCTCATTGTCTAGACAAAGGGTATCCATGAGGATTTCCACACGTTAAAAAAAAAAAAAAAAAAGGTATGTATAGTAACTAAGTACCTACCTAATTACAGTTATAAAATCGTAATTCAAAATAAGTAATTGACTATGGTCTATCGATTTATGTGGTTAACTAAAGGTAAACAATCTTGGTATGTAAGCTGCGCCTAAACTAAAAGTGACAACCCTAAGTCAGTAGGCAATTATATCGGGGATTGGGAAGAAGATGGCCTACTTCCCTTTTCTTTATACTATGATCCGACTGCTCGTATAATGCCCTATGATATAAAAAAACGAGATAAAAAAATAAACGTAATATTACCTTTACCACTGCCGATGACGATTCCCGTTGGCCCATTCAGGTTGTCCACCCATCCAGGGATAGGTTCTTTCCATGCAGCAGTTACTGTGAACAAGCATAAAGTCCCATAATAGCTTCTAAACCTGGAAACCTTGTGGTGACTGCAGTCGCATACATGTCACCACCGCTACTCTTTCCGCGGGTGTCGTATACCCGACTAAGGGACTACACATTTGACAGAGACCGGACAGCAGCGCTCTCTGATACACCTGAACCTTTTAAACTGTGATCTCCAACCTGTTTGCCAAGCGTGGAGATTATAGAAAGGACTACATATTTGACAGAGACCGGGCAGCAGCGCTCTCTGATAAACCTGAACCTTTTACACTGCGATCTCCAACCTGTTTGCCAAGCGTGGAGATTCCAGAAGGGACTACATATTTACCAGAGACCGGACTGCAGCGCTCTCTGATAAACGTGAACCTTTCCAACTGCGATCTCCTACCCGTTTACCAAGCGTGGAGATTCTAGAAGGGACTACATATTTGACAGAAACCGTGCAGCAGCGCTGTCTGATAAACCTGAACCTTTTAAGCTGCGATCTCCAACCTGTTTGCCAAGCGTGGAGATTATAGAAGATACTACATATTTGACAGAGACCGGACAGCAGCGCTCTCTGATAAACCTGAATCTTTCAAACTGCGATCTCCAACCTGTTTGCCAAGCGTGGAGATTCCAGAAGGGACTACATATTTACCAGAGACCGGACTGCAGCGCTCTCTGATAAACGTGAACCTTTCCAACTGCGATCTCCTACCCGTTTACCAAGCGTGGAGATTCTAGAAGGGACTACATATTTGACAGAGACCGTGCAGCAGCGCTCTCTGATACACCTAAACCTTTTATACTGCAATCTCCAATCTGTTTGCCAAGCGTGGTGATTATAGAAGGAACTACACACTTGACAGAGACCAGGCAGCAGCGCTCTCTTATAAACCTGAACCTTTTATACTGCTATCTACCACACCTACCAAGCGTGGAGCAACTTTAAATTGTGCTATCAAATAGAGGAGGCGAAAGTCCATCTGTGGAGTATTTTTTTTCAATCTCTTTGCCTGGATTTTGGTGATACATTGTTCTCACACAATCGAACCAACAAAACTATGTAACTAGATAATTGTATTGTGAACCTGATTGAAAAAGAGTAACCTATAGAGGTTCTTGCTCGTTCTTCTACATAGGAATCTACATCTGAGAATGAGCAAATAGCTTCAATTTTTTGTTGACGTTCAAAAGTGCCTTTCTGAAATAAATGATTTTGATTTTGACTTTGGACTGTGACAGTGCACTGCTGGACAATGGTGGAGTATAGGGTCCTGATGATGATGATGATGATGATGAGGAATTTCACTACATACCAATGGAAGGTCTGGCAATGGCAATCGGGAATTTTCCAGAATATTCGTTGACCAAATCTTCTGTGATCGCCTTTGTGTAAGAATACGTGTTGGGTTCGGAAGAAATTATCCTGGAATATAAAGAAAAACCTTTTAGGAATCTGTTCCATTAACTAAGCTGGGATTTTTCAAGTATGAGAGCCATGCTGCGGCACTGCTGTGTCGGTTCGACTGGTGTGATACCACGGCTGAGCAGAAAACCCAACGTTAAACTACGCTTGCGATGTATTTCGTCGTGTGAGTGAGGTTACCGGAGGCCCAATTACCCCCCTACCCCCTTCCTCAACCACTGAATCCCCAACAATCTTCAAATTCCTAATCCCCAAAAGGCCGGTATCGCACTTGAAACGCCTCTGGTGTTCCAGATGTCCATAGGCAACGCCGATTACTTATCATCAGGTGATCCGTCTGTAGAATTTACGTGAAGCTTTGTTCCATTACGTAACTACTTTAGTGATGTTTATGGATGTCGTCGATTGCTTACCATCAAGTGATTTTTTGTTGATTCTCACCCTATCTTACAAACAATGAGCTTACTTAGGTTCCAAATAGGCCAGTGTGTCATCGTCCATCCATTCCACGATGTCCATGATCTTCCGTGGCTTGTGGACTGCAGGGTAGACCTTCTCCTCAAGAACATCTAAATCGCAACGGCAGTAAGCTGTTGATAGATGAACAAACACCTGAAAAGACAGTAGAGGAGTTAATTAAGTGAAGATATATATAAGACATCATCGTGTCGTGGTGGCCAGGTTAAGACCCCCGCTTCTCATGCATGAGTGTGCGGCTTCGAAACCTACCAATGGCAAGTACCAATGTGACATTTTTCGAGTTACATGTATGTACTTTCTAAGATTATTTAGACACCGCTGAAGGAAAACATCGTGAGGAAACCTGGACTTATAATTATAAGTTTGAAATCGCCAACCAGCATTGAGCAAGCGTGGTGATTAATGCTCAAACCTTTTCCGTGTGAGAAGAGGCTTTTTTCAGCAGTGGACTATCTATATGCTGTTGATGATGATAAGACATTATCATTATAACCATCAATTAGCCTCAAGACGTCTGACGATGCAGTAAAGAATGAAAAGAGATGAATAGATTGCACGAGGGGTGAATAATGACGTCTAATGCGGGACATTGGAAGAAAATGGCACATTATGCTGACCATGAGAAACTTTGGACAAAGGTAGGTAGACCAAATAAAATCCTTACTAATATTATAAATCGGAAAGTGAGTTTGTTTGTTTGTTTGTTCCGCTTTCACGCCGTAACTACTAAACCAATTGCTTTGAATTTTTGCAGACGTAAAGTTACAAGTTCGGTTTAAATAATAGGATACTTTTTATCCCGGAAAAATTTGATATTCCCGAGGGAAAACAAAAGTATTGTTATAGATGACGCTGTGTATATCGTTATATGTCACATAGGCTACTTTTTATCCTTTTGTGACGCGAGCAAAGCCGCGGGTAAAAGATAGTTAGAAATAAATGGTGTCAGGCGTGATACGCAAGAAGATATGATGACGCTTGTTAGACGAGATTGGAAGAAAACATTGCAAGCACAAATACTTTGGGATACTGACCTCTAAATTCTGCATAGATTCAGCAAGGGTCAACATTCTGAGAGTACCAGAAGTGTTCATGTTGACAGCATCTTTCAGTTTCTGGTCAAATCTGAAAGGAAAGTAACAAAATATTGAATATGCGGTACACCATCAGATGTATGAATGCGATGGAAGCTAAAGAAGTATGTAAGGAGCGTACTAGGTGGCGCTCTGTAGTTTCTGTATACCATCAGATGTATGAATGTGATGGAAGCTAAAGAAGTATGTAAGGAGCGTAGTAGGTGGCGCTCTGTAGTTTCTGTATAAAATCAGATGTATGTATGTGATGGAAGCTTAAGAAGTATGTAAGGAGCGTAGTAGGTGGTGTTCTGTAGTTTCTGTATACCATCAGATGTATGAATGTGATGGAAGCTAAAGAAGTATGTAAGGAGCGTAGTAGGTGGCGCTCTGTAGTTTCTGTATACCATCAGATGTATGAATGTGTTGGAAGCTAAAGAAGTATGTAAGGAGCGTAGTAGGTGGCGCTCTGTAGTTTCTGTATACCATCAGATGTATGAATGTGATGGAAGCTAAAGAAGTATGTAAGGAGCGTAGTAGGTGGCGTTCTATAGTTTCTGTATACCATCAGATATATGAATGTGATGGAGCTAAAGAAGTATGTTAGTAGCGTAGTAGGTGGCGCTCTGTAGTTTCTGTATACCATCAGATGTATGAATGTGATGGAAGCTAAAGAAGTATGTAAGGAGCGTAGTAGTGGCGTTCTATAGTTTCTGTATACCATCAGATGTATGAATGTGATGGAAGCTAAAGAAGTATGTAAGGAGCGTAGTAGTGGCGTTCTATAGTTTCTGTATACCATCAGATGTATGAATGTGATGGAAGCTAAAGAAGTATGTAAGGAGCGTAGTAGTGGCGTTCTATAGTTTCTGTATACCATCAGATGTATGAATGTGATGGAAGCTAAAGAAGTACGTAGGGAGCGTAGTAGGTGACGCTCTGTAGTTTCTGTATACCATCAGATGTATGAATGTGATGGAAGCTAAAGAAGTATGTAAGGAGCGTAGTAGGTGACGCTCTGTAGTTTCTGTATACCATCAGATGTATGAATGTGATGGAAGCTAAAGAAGTATGTAAGGAGCGTAGTAGGTGACGCTCTGTAGTTTCTGTATACCATCAGATGTATGAATGTGATGGAAGCTAAAGAAGTACGTAGGGAGCGTAGTAGGTGGAGCTCCGTATTTTCTGTTAAAATGACTCTTACCGTACACAAGCAGCACTATGGAATATTATATTACACTCCGTCTGTAGCAGTTTTACATCTTCTTCTGATATACCAAGTCCAGGCTCTGTAATATCTCCATTTATAATCCTGAGCTTCTTAAAACCGCTTGGATTCTTTTCTCTCACCATGTCAAAAACCTAAAAATAATGGTATAGAAGTTAGAAAAAAATGCCATTGTTATGTAGATGTCCAGTCAACGAGGATGTAGTGAGGTTGGCTGTCCACACGACACACGTACTTAGGTATCGTCATGAGCTAATGTTCACATGTAAACAGCAGCTCATGTAGTGTAGATGTCAAGTCAATAAGGATGTAGCGAGGTTGACTGTCCAGGCGACACACGTACTTAGGTATCGTCATGAGCTAATGTTCACATGTAAACAGCAGCTCATGTAGTGTAGATGTCAAGTCAATAAGGATGTAGCGAGGTTGACTGTCCAGGCGACACACGTACTTAGGTATCGTCATGAGCTAATGTTCACATGTAAACAGCAGCTCATGTAGTGTAGATGTCCAGTCAACTTACCGGTTTGCTGTAAAGATCTTTCAGTCTCTCTTCAGCACTGACTCCCTTCTTCTGTCTCATCAGTAAGTAGATAGCATTAACTTCTGAGCAGTTCCTAAGTAGTTTTTCCAGCAGAGCCTGTAATGAAAAGCATTTTTTATAAGCTATCTCGCCTGGTGGTACACGATGATGTGGTCTACGATGGAGCCCGGCTACATAAGCAACCTATTCACTCGGGCCTTGAAGACACCCAGGTTATAACCTTCAGGAAACGCAGACTAGCAAGGACTTCCACTGCTTAGTATCATCACACATTAAATTGATGTTTATAGGCTGACGATGATGGTGATGATGTAAACCTTGACACAGTTTTTATTCTGGGCATCGAACTGTTTTAGTAAACGGAATCGCACTTTCGACCTCTCAATAGAGGTGGTCACACAAAAGTCATCGGTAAATACTTATAACATGATTTAGTCATCCGTGACACAATAATCGAACTCGTAAACAGACAGTAATTTAACAAACAACTCTGTATTTTAACTTTCACAAATCGCCGTAGCATGTTAAGTAAATAATAGCTAAATTGGTATCGGAAACCTTAATAGCACTTTGGCCGACTTTGGAAGTCAGTACAAGCTAATATCATGCCTTATTTTATTTTTATATTTCTCACTAGCTGTGTCTACACGGTTTCATCTGCTGCTTTGTTTCTATTGCTCACAGCCTGATGTTTTATAGCCTTTCTCAATAAATGCACTATCTAACACAAAAGGTATAGGTATATACAACATGTAACTTAAATAACGCACATCCTGAAAATAGTTTGTTCAGAATCGTTAACTGAATCGATTTGTATAATTTTTAGTATAGGCAATTTTTTATCCCAAAAATAATTAAAACTACGGAAATTATTGTTATATTAACCCTGTATTGTTAAAACAAATCGAAATGGACCGTAAGTCAAAGCAATAAAACTTTTAAAATCGCAGTTTTATTTGTATTCATACAAATTCTATCATTCAATACAAAATAAAGAAAAATAAACCTTATGACAAGACCTGTAAGGGCATTAAGGATGCATATACATGTTAAATTAAAAATTTAGTGTATGTATTATGATTATAACATAATATTCTAATTGGGGTGTTTGAGGGTGTGCGTTAATTACGTTATATGTTGTTTAAATAGGTCTTTGGTGTGGGACGCAACCTGCGTCGACTGCGGGTTGTGCTTGTTCCGCTGCTGCAAAAAACCTGAAGCAGCGCAAGTATAACAACCTTGCTGGTATTTTTTTTTCTTTTTTAAGGGACAAGCCCGCCACAACCTCCCAAAACCGCTGCTACTCCAATAAGCCAGGATCTACAGTAGATGAAAACACCGGAACATTGAAGTCCGGCGCGTCCCAGGGACATGAGTAACTGTCTTGGTTCCCGCAACGAAGTGAATCAGAAGATATTATAAGAGGAGAAGAAGAAATAAACTATAGTTTCCACTTGCTGGTAGTTATATCTTTGAGCCGTTTGGGGTTGAGACGCTAGGTCCGTGGGGTCCGAGTGCCCATAACATTATTCAAAAACATTTCGAAACGCCTGGTCAACGCATCTCGTGACCAGAGGGCTGGTCTTTTTCTCGGTCAGAGGTTAAGCATTGCCATACAACGTGGCAATGCTGCCAGCCTTCTGGGTACTTTCCCTACTGACGTCGATACGGACGAATTTTTCTCTGTGTAAAAATAGTTGTTTTTAGTTTTCTGTTATTATGTTTTTGTATCTTAAGTTGTATATATTTAACAATTTTGCAGGGGTGCCAACTGAAAACCAGAGTTGGGTTCTTACTGTGCTCAGCTTACACTGACTTGGCGAGCTCTTTCGTCGTGGCCATGCTGACACGCTGTTTCTTTTATTTTGCTTTTTTTAAATGTTTTTTTTGCATTCATTGTTTTTTTTACTGCTGTTTTTTTTGTTATTTTATGTTCTTATATTGTTTTCTTTTTTATTTTTGTTTTTCAATGTTTATTTACATGAAACATAACATCACGCCTTTTATCCCCGGAGGGGTAGGCAGAGGTGCACATTATGCCGCTGTACAATGTAACACCCACTTTTCACTATTTATGTTATGAGTCCCATGTAATAGGGGATGAGCCTATTGCCATATACCGGGCACAATTCCAGACTCCGTGATACTACTGAGATTTTTTTTTCGTGGCGAATAAATTATTTTTCTCTCTTTCTTTCTAATTAATTGAATGTACTAATCATTGAATAAAATACATAAAAATAATTATTCAAATAGGACCAGTCGTTCTGGAGATAACCTCTTTCATACAAAGTAACTCTTTAGCATTGTAGTATAGAAAATGTTGCCTCACCTTGCCCACGAACCCTGTACCTCCGGTAATAAAAATATTCTTGCCCCGGTAGTACTCTAGTACATTTGGCGCCATGGTTACCTGAAACAAAAATATCATGGTAATCACATTTATTTTATCAAATACTAGCGGCCCGTCCCGGCTTCGCACGGGGGGACTTAAGATTTTTTACATAGTTTTACGTTTTATTTATATTTATTCTCAGTTTTTTTTTAGCCTAAGTCTTAGTCTTAAGGTAACCGATTGAACAATTCAAAAGTTATCTAGAGCAAACTTTTATAAGGATTGAACCATTCATTAAAACGATTGTTATGGGTAAACTATAAAAGGTAGACATATGCTCTCGCGGACTTTTTTAAAAATAATGTTAAGATAAACAATTCATCTATAGAACATTTTTGTATAACTTTAACTATATGCTCAGCGCACGCCACGGAAGGCCTCAGAAACGATACTTTTCCCCCGTTTTTAAAACATTTTTGGTTACTGCTCCACAACTATAGGACCTAGCGTGATATTATATAGCCTATGTTACTTCTGAATAATGCAGCTTTCGAATGGTGAAAAAATTATTGCAATCGGTTCAGTAGTTTTTGAGTTTATTCATTACAAACATACAAAAATACAAAAATACAAATCTTTCCTCTTTATAATATTAGTATAGATATTAGTATAGAAGACTGCCTGGGTGGCCGAGTGGTCGCAAGTACAAAGGCCGGGCAAGGTCGGACAAAGTATTACAGGGTTTTAAAAAAATACCCGTAGTAGCACGGAGTCTGGAACTGTGCCCGGTATATGGCAATAGGCTCACCCCTATTACACGGGACTCATAACATAAATAGTGAAAAGTGGGTGTTACATTGTACAGTGGTATAATGTGCACCTCTGCCTACCCCTTCGAGGATAAAAGGCGTGATGTTATGTATGTTATGTGTTTTCTTATACGACAGAATAAAAGTACGTGTCTAATATTTTTTCATTACTTAACTTACGGACTAATTATATTTTTAATTTTCATACCCTGTCATCATCCCAATTATTGTGGAAAAATCTAAATGATAGTCATTTAAAACACATTATAACACCTTTTTATCATTGAAAGGGGAAAATAATGGAGAATGTTAATGTGACGTCAAATTAAGAAAGTATTTGTAGCTCCAATCTCATCTTATATCTTATCTTATCTTATACTATGTATTATATAAAGAGGAAGGGTGTGTTTTTTTGTTTCTTTGTTTCAACGCGCTAATCTCCGTAACTACAAGTTTGATTTGAATAATTCTTTTTCTGTTGGATAGCGCATTTATCGAGGATGACTATAGGCTATAAAACATCACGCTACGACCAATAGGAGCTGAGCAGAGCGTGTGAAACCGCGTGGAAGTAACTAGTCACTAATACTGACCTTTCAATATGTTTAAAAACATCACTACATAGTATAAAACGAAGTCGCTATCAGCCGTCTGTCTGTCCTTATGTATGCTTAGATCTTTAAAACTACGCAACGGATTTTGGTGCGGTATCTTTTAATAGATAGAGTTATTCTTAAAGTAGGTTTATATGTATAATACATGCATATTGCACGTGTGTGAAGCCGGGGCGGGTCGCTAGTACAATATAAATGACGATCTGGCTATGACGTCACACACAGTACTGCGTAAATTTTGCAAGTCATAAAAACTGTAGACACGCATATAATTTGGCCAGCTTTGTTTTTCAACTGCGTCAAAGGGTGCGATTCCCAGGTCGGGCAAAGTATTACTTAGTTTTTTTTTTAAAAACTCAGTAGTAGCACGAAGCCTTGAATTATGCGCGGTATATGGTAATAGACTTACCCCCTGTTCCATGGGACTCATAACATAAATAGTGAAAAGTGGGTAATACATTGTACAGTGGTAAAATGTGCACCTCTGTCTACCCCTTCGAGGACAAAAGGCGTGATGTTATGTTATGTTATGTTATGTTAAAATTCTCCAACTTTCACCTAGTCTTCACCAGCTATGTGATAAGTCCCATGCAATAGATTGCTAAATTGGCACTTACAATCACAATTATGGTGACCCATTGCCCAATCATGTTGACACAGAATTTTGAAGATTCAATATTATGTTGGTTCAAGAATCTATGTAACATTTATATACACATTTGTAATACTTTTATACAACAGCTGGGTGTTGATGTAAAGAGTAAATAGTCAAGAGTTGCATAACATTATATACTAGCTGTTTGCTCATGACTTCGGCCGCGTAGAATATGAAACAAAGAGTTTTCTTTTTCTAGTAAAGAAGCACTATTTTTATAGATTGTCAGTATGCATATGTGAGCACCATGTTGGACTATAAGATTTTTTTTATTTTAGTAAGTTTTGTAATTAGTACCTATAATGCGTTAAGCGTGTCTTTGCATTGTTCTCACATATATGTACAGTATTGGAATATGTATCAGAGACATTGTAGAACATACTTTTTAAAAAGAGTAACGAATGGAGTTTCTTGCTCGTTCTTCTCCATTCGAATCTACATTTTGGAATGAGCACCTAGCTTCACTGACGGACTGGCTGACAGACTATTATTTAATTTGTATTTGTTGATGTTTCAAAAGTACCAAATTATGGTTTAATTGAAATAAATGCTTTGACTTTGACTTTGACTTCATGAATTTTAGAACGTAACTTTCTTTTTTGTTCCAATTTTCCAAAATAAAAGTAGCCTATGTTACTACTTAGTACATCAGCTACCTGCCAATGAAAGTCTTGCATAACCGGTGCAGCCATTTCAGAGGTTAGCCAGTACAAACAGACAGACGAAAGATAGTTAAAAATGTTATTCCGGTATGTGTATCGTATGTGTGTGTGGGAGAGCCATGCTTCGGCAGGAATGGGCCGGCTCGACCGGAGTGATACCACGGCCGAGCAGAAAACCGACGTGAAACAACACTTGCGTTGTGTTTCTTCATGTGAGTGAGGTTATCGGAGGCCCAATTACCGCCCCTCCCCAGTCTTCAAATTCCCAATTCCCAAACCCCGAATCCTCCACCAACCTCAAACTCCTAATCCCCAAAAGGCCGGTAATGCACTTATAACGCCTCTGGTGTTCCAGGTGTCCATGGGCGACGCCGATTGCTTACTATAAGGTTATCCGTCTGCTCGTTTACCGGCTTATGCCATAAAAAAGTATGTATATTCATATGCATGTAGTAAAAAGCGGTTATTTTAATACTAGCTTTTACCTGCGGCTTCGCTCGCGTCACAAAAGGATAAACAGTAGCCTATGTGACATATACCAATACACACAGCGCCATCTATACCAAAATATTTTTTTCCCTCGGGAATATAAAATCTTTCCGGTATAAAAAGAACCCTATTATTTAATCTGGACTTCTAACTTTACGTCTGCAAAAATTCAAAGCAATCGGTTTAGTAGTTACGGCGCGGAAGCGGAACAAACAAATAAACAAACAAACTCACTTTCCCATTTATAGTATTAGTAAGGATTACAAACAGACATTCCAATTTTATTTATCTGTATATATAGATGTACTTCTCTATTTTTTAGGTTACGCTGTCTTCGATGTGATTATCACATAATGATTCTAACTATCGTTTAACTGCATGTCAATTTTGACTGGTCGGCTGGCGCGGTAGCCTAGTTCATTAATATGTTACATGAGCTTAGTTTTTTAGACGGTTTTGTTCAAAGAAACCAGTATGAATTCAGTGTTAAATATACTGAAAAACCAAACAAAGGCAGACCACCACAGATGGGGCCCAATAGGGCCGATGCCGACTCGGAGTCGCGGAGAACCTAACGGGTAACCGGGGCTCCGGCTCGACGTGCAGGAGAAGGAACGGGGTGGTTTTTAGTCAGAAAGAGTCTGACACTCAATTCCGCCTCACCCAGGCGGGAACAGTCATTCGATGATTTTCCCCCCTTAAAAAAAAGGCAGACCATGATAAATTGGTCATTAGATAACGGCTGAGGGACAAGGCTGGCGAACTTTTTTTTTTTGATTCAAACGGCGCCTAACTTTTTGGGGATAAAGACTTGGGAGTATGGGATCCGTACCTCACTAAAACCACCCCGGTGGCCACCTTCAGCTGTAAGGGGGTCTCCGGGTCCTCTGAAGAGACCTGCTCCGTAGCCCCCAAAGGCTGGCGACCTATTTAACCGGCGTTCTATTGAACCCCATGTCCCAAAAATAAAATTGCTTCATCTAAAAAATGCAGTACTCTGTTCTTAAATTGTAAAATTTCAATGAACTGATGAATGATTAGATGTTAAGCGTGGAAGAGCCATGATTCGGCACGTAGGGGCCGGCTCGATCGGAGTGATACCACCAACGAGCAGAAAACCGACGTGAAACTACACTTGCGTTGTGTTTCGTCGTGTGACTGAGGTTACTGGAGGCCTAATTATTCCGCAATCTCCCCAATCCCTGAATCTCCAACAATCCTCAAATTCCTAATCCCCAAAAGGCCGGTAACGCACTTGTAACACCTCTAGTGTTCCAGGTGTCCATGGGCGACGCCGATAGCATCAGGTGACCCGCCAGCTCGTTTACCGGTTTATACCATAAAAAAGGACTAGCTGGACAACTGGCTGCCGCGCACCACGTAACGGGTTCGATTCCCGTACAGAGCAACGTTTTTAAATGATACATCATCATCATCATCATCAACAGCCTATAAATGCCCACTGCTGAGCAAAGCCTCTTCTCACACGGAGAAGGTTAGAGCATTAATCACCACGCTTGCTCAATGCGGGTTGGCAATTTCAAACTTATAATTAGAAATTATAAGCCCAGGTTTCCTCACGATGTTTTTCCTTCACCGTTTGTCAGTGGTGTCTAAATAATCTTAGAAAGTACATATAACTCGGAAAAAGTCACATTGGTACTTGCCGTTGGTAGGTTTCGAACCCACACCCTCATGCATGAGAAGTGGGCGTCTTAAACCTCCGGGCCACCACGACATAAATGATACATCTGAACTCAAAATCACTACATAGTATAAACCAAAGTCGCTATCCGCCGTCTGCCTGTCCCTATGTATGCTTAGATCTTTAAAACTACGCAAC